CAATGAAGATATTCCATGGCTCTTGAGATAACCTTGTTATTGTCTATTGAGTTGCAAAGATTGTGAAAGGTGTTTCTATTCTCATTTAGCCAAAATAGCCATTGTGTTTGTAGAGGCTATCAAGCCAATGGGTAGATTGGTTGTCAACAGTTTATGTGTTAACACCTAGTTCTTCCCATAGATGTCCGGCTATTGGGCAAGAGAGAAAAATGTGTTGTGGAGTTTCCTTAGTGTTGATACAAACTGAGCAGTTCAAGGGAGTATCAATCCCAATATGACATAGGTAGCTTTTGGTAGGTAAGCGATCATGGTAGCATTGCCATAGGATATACTTAATCTTGTTCCAAGTTTTCAGTTTTCAAAGCCATGCAAAATTCTTGCTTTGGTTTTGAGTGTTGTTAGAGGTTATAAGAGGGTACACAGATTTTTTGCTGAAAACTCCATCTATGGTGGGGGCCCATATCGGGGTATCAATGTGGTGGTAGTCATTAGTAGTTTGAAAGGAGTGAATTTCGATTAAAATGTGGGATGGGAGCTCAAAAGAGAGTTGTGACAAGGCCCATGAGTTGTTGGAGAATATGTCCGAAATTTTAAGATTTGAATCAATATATGATAGGGGACCTTGAATCATACTACGTAGGCTTTTTGATTAAGGCAGCCAGTTTGCATGCCAAAAGTCAATATTGGAACCATCTCCAATATGCGAGACAATAGCATTTTTGCAAATTGTCCAGCCTGTGAGAATGTTATTCCATATGAAGGAGTGAGATGTATTTGAGTATCGACCAGCACATTTGGAATTGATAACTGTAGCCCAAATAGCAGGGGGTGACTAAAGAATCTCCAGGTGAGGCTTGTAATAGCGGCAATGTTTTTATTAGTGGATTTTCTTATTCCTAGACGCCCAGCATGTTTTGGCTGAGAGACAGTGTGCCATTTTTTGTAGTGGATTTTTCTGGAGTTTTGGATACTGCCCCACAAGAAATCACGTTGAATTTTGTCAATTTGACGGTGAATTTTTTTAGGCAGCATCGTGTATTGCATAACATGGTTAGGGATGGCATTGAGGGTGGTTTAATTTGAACTATAGTAGCTCTTCCCGCATGTGAGAGAAATTGGGTTTTCCAACTAGTCAGCCTTTTGTTGAGGTTGTCAAGGATGAACGTGTAGTCAGTTGGCTTAGGTTTGTTAGTCGAAATTGGAAAGCCTAGGTATTTTCCAAAGCTATCACTGACTTTGATATTAAGGATGGTAGAAATGGAATTTTTCTGATTAATAGAGCAGTTCTTTGAAAAGATTATTTTAGATTTGGTGTGATTTATTTTTTGCCCTGATAATGAGCTAAAGTAATCAAGACATCGCTTGACTCTATTGGCAGATTTCTCATTGGCTGTTGCCATTAGGGTTAAATCATCCGCAAAAAATAGATGGGAGGAGGGGGGGGGGGGGGAGAGCCTGTTGGGCTAAGCTTGATAGGGTCCCAAAGAGTTAAATCAATTTGGTGATTTATAAGGATGGATAGTAGCTCAATGCAAAGGATAAAAATGTACGAGGACATAGGGTCACCTTGTCTTATCCCCCTTGATGGCTTGAAGAACTCTATTTGGGATCCATTCACAAAAACATCAATAGGGGAGGTGCTAATACAAGCCATGATAAGTTTGGTGATGCATGGTGGAAAGTTAAAGTAGTGCAGGGCTCTACAAATGAATGACCATTCGAGTCGGTCAAAGGCTTTTTCTAAAGTAATTTTAAGGAGGATTTTCCCCTTGGTGCCTTTGATTTTGTTATAGTGATGAATAATTTATTGGATGATGATGGCATCGTCAGCCGCCCGTCTTCCCATGAGGAAGCTAGATTGAAAAGGGCCAATTAGGTTATTAAGGAAGGGTTTAAGACGGTTGATAATAATTTTGGTAATGACCTTGTAAATTGTATTGCAAATCCCAATGGGTCAGAAATTTTTAAGGTCATTTGCATTAGGAAACTTGGGGATTAGATAAAGAAAAGTTGTATTGAGTTGCTCCGGGATGGTGTGGGTTGCAAAGATGGTGTGACAAAAATCAAAAACTGTATTTTTAAGAACGTGCCAATATTTCTGGTAGAAGAATGGGTGTAGCCCATTCGTGCCAGGAGTTTTTAAAGGTTTAAAGGAGAAAATATCCCTAGTGATCTCATACTTTTATAAAGTTTTGTCTAGGACTGCTAAATCAGTGTCTGAAGTGGAAATTGGGGATGCTTGAATGCCTGCCCAGTTTGATGATTCATGGCTTGTTTGATAAATGTTTTGGAAATATGTGAAGGTATGTTGAAGGATTTTATCAGGCATTAATCCAGTTTTTATGCTCATCTTTAAAAAAAGAGATACGGTTTTTCCTTCTCCGATTGAGGACATTTATATGGAAAAACTTAGTACTTGCATCCCCTTCACTAAGCCAATTAATGCGCGACCTAAGTTTCCAATAATCTTCCTCAATTTTTGAAAGGTTACTATAGTCATTAGTGAGGGTTTGTTCAAGATTCTTCAAGAAGGCACTAGTAGGATAGGTAACAGATTTTTGGATCCCACTAATCCTTGCAAGGGTTTTTTTTCTTCTTAGTAATGACATCACCAAAAGTGGTGGCAGGCCAGTTTTTAATCTTGTTAGTAAAAAGGGTGGTGGCAGTTGGTAGGTTATAGCCAGTCCAGGTATCCAGAACAATGGAATTAAAATCTGGATGATGGCACCAGTAGGTTTCAAGGCGAAAAACACGTTGAGTGTGGAACATATTATGGCGGGAGAGTGAAATTAGGAGGGGGTATGGTCAGAGTAAGTCTTAGGAAGATGAGTAACGTTTGCATCAGGATAATATTCTAACCATTGCTCATTAGTATAACATCTATCAAGTCGTTCAAGAATTAGATCAGAGCGATTATGTCTGTGATTTGACCATGTGTATTTTGCTCCTTTAAAACCAAGATCTATAAGGTGAAAGTGATTAATGTACGATTGAAAACGTGAGGCTCTATTTCTATTGATAGGTCTCCCCCCCCCCCCCCCATTTATCTTGTTGGCTAGTTACTTCATTGAAATTACCTCCTAGGAACCACATTCCCTTATAATTATTAGCAATATTTTCTAGGTTTAGCCATAGTTGATTCCTAGTATTTACATTAGTACTAGTATAAACAGTACTAAATAGCCAAGGTTGGTGGTTTGGGAGTACCTGGATCATTGCACGGATTTCCTAACCATCGAGGCGTATGTGACTAAGTTGGACAATGGTGTCATGCCACAGAATGGCAACTCCTCCAGATTGGCCTTGCGTAGGGATTTCAACCATATTGGAAAATTGAAACTCATCTCTAATGCCTATATGATTGGACATTCGAGTTTAGAGAAGGGCTACCAAGCAAGGGTTGTGAGTATTTAGTAAATCCTAAAATGATGCTTGAATTCATCATTATTACCACCCTTGATGTTCCAGATGACAAATCTAGGGAGTTTACTCATCGATGGATGTTGTTTGGGGGGGGGGGGGATAACACTGGGTGTCTCATCGATTGGGGTGCAGGGACACCCTTCACTGATGGGCTTAGTATGACTGTGAAGTTGCCTACTGCCTCGTTTAGTAGAGGCCTTATGTTGAGGGAGCATTTGTATAGCTCTATTGGGAACTTGCAAACAAACTTCTTGTCCTCCATCGCTTGGAACAACATGATTTTGACCTGTAGATTTGAAATTTCTGTGAATGATGTTATATTTAGTGGTGGGATGTTCTGATCTTGTGCCACAATTTCTTGTTCTCCTAGTATGAGTGCATTGTGATGGAGATGGGGGTGTGCTTAATGAATATCCACTGGAGCTGAGAAGTGTCGGGGGACAGGCTGCCATGCATGGATCAAGGGTGGGGTGTTTTGATCCTGTGGAGAAAAGAATGGGAGTTAATAAAGGAGCTGCATGTTCTGCAGAGGGTTGAAATGGTGCAGGAGATTCCAGTGAGCCTGCATGTTGTGAAGAAGGGCAGGTGCTAATGCTGGAGCTATGGGGTCTAGAACATTTTTCAACCAAAGGTGGTTGATGTAGTTTGACATCGCTAGTCTCATGCCCTCTGAAATTAGTTGTGCTAGAATCTGTGGGTTTTGAAGAACGAATAGAACCTCTTGGTTTTGGATATTGAGAGTGAAGAAGGCTGCTGGCCCTAAAGCCCTTGCTCCAGTCATGTCGTTGGTTGATGATCCTGTGGGAGGGCATTGGTGACATATATCGAAAGATTGGGGTTTGGTACTTGGTTTTCCATTATGGAGTATAGATGGACGATGGTGGTGAGGGAGTTGATTCAGAGGGATTCTTCTGCGGGTGTGGGGTTGTACTGGATTCATAGTGTGTAGAAGACGATGTAGTGGATGAGGGAAATTGGTGTTCGCGAACTAATGATTATGTATCTATTATAATAGATTGTGTTTGCATGTCTTTATCAATTACTTCCAAATATGGGCTATCCATTATTGGGGAGTTGGTTTTCATGGCCACTTGGCAGGTGGTAGATGACAAGTTATCTAGGGGTATATTAGAGATATTAGGTGTCATCAGTGTGAGAAGGGGTGGCGTGCTTGGTAGGGGAATAGGGAGTGGAGCTGCTATTTTATTCATATTAGTGTGGCTGCATGCAGCCTTTTGGCCACGTGGAGACGGAAGTTGGGGGAAGGGGAAGGGTTTCTTGGAGGGGACGAGTGATCAGGAATTGGGATTGGTTATGGTTTTTTTCCATCCAAATCCATATGGAAGGAGTTATCCAATTGCAGTAAAACATTATTATCATCAGTGGGGAGTGATGAAAACTTATTAGAGGTGTGAATTGGCTTGCTAGTGTTTGTACTAACACTGTTAGTATTTTTGGAGGATGTGTAGTTGGATCCATTTTTAGATAGCAGTTCAGCATTATCAGTGTATTTAGACTTAAAAACTAGTTTTTGAGTATTTAGGAATTTACCTGATGCTGCATCAAATATATTGACATTAATACCTAGGGGGTGTCGTTTGTGCTTTGTTCTGAGATGAACTAGCAGTGTGTCGTTTTTGTTTGTTACCTCTAGGAAAGGAGACTGTTTGCCATAGTTCTTCAACTGCTTTTCCCTTGTTTGTGGAGTTGGAGGTGATGGACCAAGGGCCTTGTTGTGTCTGGTTTAGTGAGTCAATTGTAGAGTAGGAGCATGATGGTGCAGTGTGACCCAGTCTACCACAAACTTTGCATAAAAAATTCTCCCCTTCATACACGAGTTGTTGTATGTGAGAGCCAATCGGAATCGTTGTTTGGACTGGTTGGTCTAATGGCACTTGCACACATAACCTCGCGTATCTTCCTTTGAGTGTTGAGCCTGTACAAGCATCTACGCGTAGTAGCCGGCCAATTGAGTTTCCAATCCTTCCAAGCACTATTCCATCGTAGAGTTCTGTGGGTAGTTGTGGAAGACGGACCCAAACAGCTGAGTGAACTTCCTTAGCTTTTCTAGCTACAAAATTTGGCTCCCACCTTCGAACAGAGAGGTAGTGCTCATTGATAAACCAAGGGCCATGTTGTAGAACTTTGGCCATGTTTTCTTCTTTAGTAAACTTAACTACACAAAAATCTGATCCAAAATAAATTAATAGAAAGGTTTTGTTTGGTTTCCAAAGGTCTTGGATTTTTTTTGAGGTACTGGTGGATGACTCGTTTGCCCAGTAGTTTGATTATAAGAGAAAATTGCCAAGGTGTGTACATTCTTCCTCTATTTTCTGCTGTCAGAGAGTCTTTTTTTTAATTTGGAGGAGATAGATTTGTGGGAGGAATCATCCATCATAGCTCAGAATAATTAAATACATTGATGTTTGTATTGATTGGGGCGTCCGTTAGGTTTTCATGGGAGAGTAATTTCTCTTTGAAAGAGGAGATGCTTGGATTAATGGGAGTGGAGTGATTATGTTGCATATTTTTTTAGTATGTTTCCAACAACAAAAATGTCATTATTCTATATTTAAGAATAAGTTAACATTAAATCTTTTTATTTATAGCTATATAAATTTCTATGACCTGCTTCAGATTACAATTTTATAAATATGTAGGTTGGTAAACAATGCCACATAAATTGAGATATGAGGAGTCTAAAACAATATAAAAAATTATAGAATTTTGTGCTCCGTCGAATAACCCATATAAATTAAGATAGGAGGGGTCTAAACCAATGCCACAAATTTTAAAAATTTGTATTCAGTCAAACAATGCCAAATAAATTAAGATAGGAGGAGTCTCAAAATTTACTCCCTCCGTCCAAGTCTACTTGTCCATTATTGATTTGGTACATCCCTTAAAAAATAATAAATAACATGATAATTTTACCATGTCACCCATAATTATTACTATTGAAAAACTAACTTTGATGGTTATAAATAAAAATATTTGTAAATAATAAGGATATATTAGGTAGAAAATAATAAATTATCCATTGATTTTTCAAACTGGCAAGTAAAAGTAGATATCTATTTTTAGTATTGTGGACAAGTAAACTTAGACGGAGGGAGTAAAATGATATGTTTATACACTGACAATATATGCCTAAAGTTACATATGTATACCACTAATGATTTTCTTATTAAGAATGGAATTCCTTCGCCCTTAACTAGAGGTTTTGTGTTCGAACTCTATAAATGTTAAAAATCTTGGTATGAAGTGTTATTCCTCTTTAATGGGCCTTACACAGATACCATGACGATAATGTGAAGGTGAGCATAAAATACCTCCCACCATACAACTGATTATATTTGTCGTAAGATGATGTTAGTTCCATTTAATATAAGAATATGGGGTGATAGGTAATTCACAAAATATTAAGAGCTCATTCAGATTGGCTGAATTTAAGTATTGTTTAAGCATCAAGTGTTGAAAGGAAGATTTTAAGGGTTGAAACTTATTTTATAAATTGGTCGCTGCCAACTCGACACTACACCAAGGTAGGAAGAGCGGGTCGCAATAGCTTTTACCCGAATAGTGGTCGGGATCGATTTTCACAGGGAGCTAGTAGTGGAGTTGGATTTTCTTTCTAGTCTAGATATGTGTTTGTACTCCTAGTGTCACTTCAAACGTTCTTGGTTTTTTTGATTTTTTATAACTACTATGAATAAACTACTGACTAACGCTATATTATGCTACTAGAATATTGCTAAGTTGTATCTAATGGGAAGAATGGCACTAGGGTTGTGGCATTACCTAGGTGGCTAATTGACGGTTAGATGTTACTAAGGATAGATTGACATATTTGGGGCTTATGCTATAACCGTTGCACAATTGTACCCACTCTCACTCCTCTCGGTAGAGATAGTGATTTTACCCAATTGACTCTCTCGAGACCAATTGGGTAGGCCAATAAGATCAAGCAACTAGGGTTCAAGTAGGGTGATTACTCTCTCGAGATTTAACCCGTTAATTGGGACTATCATTTCTCATGAGTCCATCCCAATTCCTTATTGGGTCAATTTTGGGGTCATAAACTCTCTTTCTCAAGAAGAGTCAAACCCACAAAGCTTGTAGTGTTTTGCAACCACAAATCTTAAATAAAAACATAAAATCAACCCAAATAGCAAACACCCATAATCAATCTAACCCTAGATGGCAACACCCATCAATTACCCACACTAGGGTTGGGCCACAACCCTAGCTAGTGGGTTTAGCTACTCATGCTAGGTACAGAAATTGAAGAAATAGATGAAGAACTAAGCATATTAATTAATTACTAAGAAGAAACTACAATAATAAAGAGAAAAAATGCCAAAAATGGCTACAATATCCAGTCTCACGAGCTCAGCTGCGTTCAGAATATAAAACTTAACCTAAAAATGGTAAAATGTTCTATTTATACTAGGCTAGAAAAACTGGACAAAAATACCCCTGCGGGGTCAGTGCGGACCGCGGCCGCACTAGCTCTTGGACTTTTGGTTTTTGCTTCTCTGAAGTTGAGGACCGCGGACCGCGTGGAAATGCAGCGCGGCCGCGGTGGAGGTCGGCGCGGCCGCACATAAAGGAGCGCGGAGCGCATTACTTGAAAATGTCAAAACATCAACTCTCTGAATCTCGTTCACGCGGACCGCACAAAAGTGTGAAGCGGCCGCGTAGCCTGACCGCGGACCGCGATAATCCAATCGCGGCCGCGTAGCACTTCCACTGAATATGCCATGTCTCTGAACCTCCTAGTGTGGCCGCATCCACTTTTGCGTGGTCCGCACTAGGCCCTTTTTCCTCAATTCTCTTGGTCATTGATACTTGAGCAGGTTTCATTCCTTTTTTGAGCCGATCTTTGACATTTTGTCACTTTGTCGACCAAACCTGCAATCAGCACAACCTGCGAGCATTTTGGGGTAATTTTGTAGCAATTTATACTTAAAGCATAGGCAAGTAGGGGCATAAAACACGTTAAAATCCTAACTTATCAACTCCCCCAAACATAAGCCTTTGCTTGTCCTCAAGCAAACAAAATAAGACCCACCCCTTAAAAAAAAATCCAAGTAATTCCAGCTATCCTAAAGCAGCCTCAATAAGCATCAATTGGGACTAACAATTGCCCTCAATACGAATGCATCATTAACACATTTAAACTTTGAAAAACCATGGATCAAGTGTGGCACAAGAGCATCAAGAGTTGACACATTTCATCAAAGAACTTCTCTCAATTACTTTGGTCATTGTGGAACCCAAAATCACACATCCTCAACTCTCCCTAAGCGAACCTCACCTTTTAGAGTATTAACACACAAATCGAGGTTGAGTCTCACTCATCTCTCTCAAGAAGAAGGTCACAAGTCCGGCTCTAGGTACCATATGCTTGCCCCTTATGTAAGTATCCACTAATGTAGGTTTCCTTCAACTCAAGATCCTATAGGGCTTTTGTGGAGTCATTGTGAAGGCTTTTGGGTAAGGGTAGGACATGTTTTTATTCAAGTAGGTTCAATCTTCCCTTAAGCACTTCTTTTGATTCATTTNGTCCGCGAACCATGGCATGTCACACATTGACACGGAAAGAAGTTGCTCGTCGGGGAATGTATCATTTATTTCAAGGCCGTTACATGGCCTCCCTTCTTCCTCCAACCGGGACAAATGGTCCGCAACTTGATTCTCACTTCCCTTCCGGTCTACTATTTCTAAGTCAAATTCTTGAAGAAGTAACACCCATCTCATCAATCTTGCCTTGGAATCCTTCTTGGTCATCAAATACCTAAGGGCGGCATGGTCCGTGTGCACAATCACCTTGGCCCCCATAAGATAAGGCCAAAATTTCTCCATGGCAAATACAATGGCCAATAACTCCTTCTCCGTCACCGTGTAATTTCGTTGAGCTTCATTCATATTCTTACTTGCATAATACACGGGATGAAACATTTTGTTAACCCGTTGACCTAACGCCGCCCCTACTGCAATGTCACTAGCATCACACATTAGTTCAAAGGGTAAACTCCAATTAGGTGCGGTTATGATAGGGGTAGTGGTCAACTTGTGCTTTAAAAGTTCAAAAGCCTCCATGCATTTTTCTCTAGCAATTTGCAAAGGGGATTCACAACCTTCGAGAAGTCTTTGATAAACCGCCGGTAGAACTCGGCATGCCCAAGAAAACTCCTCACCCCTTTGACAGAAGTAGGGGGAGGGATCCTTGAAATCACCTCGATCTTCGCCTTATCTACCTCAATCCCATGTTTTGAAATCTTGTGGCCCAACACTATACCTTCTTCAACCATAAAATGGCATTGTTCCCAATTGAGAACGAGGTTCCTTTCTTCACAACGAGCCAAGACTCTATCCAAATTCACCAAGCATTTATCAAAAGAGTCACCAACTACACTAAAGTCATCCATAAAGACCTCCAATATGTCTTCCACCATGTCGGTGAAAATAGCCATCATGCAACGTTGAAAGGTCGCCGAAGCATTGCACAACCCGAATGGCATCCGGGAGAAAGCAAATGTACCATAGGGGCATGTAAAAGTGGTCTTCTCTTGGTCTTCTGGGGCAAATAAGATTTCATTGTAGCCCGAGTATCCATCCAAAAAACAATAGAATGCTCGCCCCGCAAGGCGATCAAGCATTTGATCGAGGAATGGCAAGGGAAAATGATCCTTACGGGTCACCTTGTTGAGTTTCCGGTAGTCCATACAAACTCTCCACCCGGTAATGGTTCGAGTGGGAATAAGCTCATTGTTGTCATTGGTCACTACCGTCATCCCTCCTTTCTTTGGCACACATTGGACCGGAGAAGTCCACGAGCTATCGAAGATTGGATAAACCACACCGGCGTCAAGCCACTTGATAACCTCTTTCTTTACCACTTCTTGCATCGCTTCATTTAGCCTCCTTTGATGTTCAAGTGAAGGCCTTGCATCATCCTCCAAGATAATTTTATGCATGCAAAATGCGGGGCTTATTCCCCGAATGCCCGCCAAAGTCCATCCTATTGCCCTTTTTCGCCTTTGAAGCACCTCCAAAGTGGCCTCAACCTGCAAGTTAGTAAGGAAAGAAGAAAGAATAACTGGAAAAGTTGAATTTGAGCCGAGAAATTCATACCTGAGGTGTGGAG